CCCCCGGGTGAGGAGCGCGGAGCGGGGAATCCGCCTCCTTCCTGGGCAGGGCCCTGTGGGGAGGCAGCATTGGGCTTGGGAAGTGTTTTGCTCCTTTTCATCCTGTTTTTTCTTATTTTCCTCTGTTTTTTTCATGAGTTTTCCCCTGATTTTTAAAGAGTTTTCTATTTTTGCCCCCATTTCGACTCACCATCCTCATCGCTGAAGGTTTCTTCCCCATTTTAAACGCTGTTTAAAACGAGCCTCCAAAGGGATAAACTCAATTTTCTCCTCTTTTTCCATGCTTGCATCTTGTGCTCTTTCCTCTCACTTTTGTCTAAGCCCAGAAAAAAGTCGGGAAAACTCGGAGCTGGAGGGAGTTCCCTGCTCCTCAGGGCTGGGAATGGGCAGCAGGGAGCTGGAAAATCGGGATAATTTCACCTTTCACCGCTTGGTTTTCCTTGTGAATTTCAGTAAATTTCCTTGTCAATTGCATTAATTGGTACCTTGCTCCCCCCAAAGTGTTCTAAATCCCGGTTTTCCAGTTTTTTAGGCAGGGAGACTGAAATTCCAGTTGGGAATGTTGTTGTGTTCTTAGCTGTGTGCACGTGTGTTTAAGGGAATGAAGTTTGTGGGATGGATTTTGTTCCTTTAAAATATTCAAGGGAAATCCTGCTAATTCCACCCTCTGGAATTGGGGTTTGGCAGGAATTTTGATGCCCAAGTCATTTATTCCTGGATTTTAGGAAGTTTTAGGTGGGCAAGATGAGTTTGGGACTTGTTTACCTTAATTCTGAGTGTTTGTCCTTATTATTTCCCAATTTCATGTGGAATAGCAAGAAATCCTGGGAAAATTTCCCTGAGTTTTCGGAATCTCCTTGAATTCTGTGCTACTTTTTGATTTAAATCCTGAAAATCAGAATTAAACCTTTGGATGTGGATGGGGTTTGGTGCTTTTTCCTGAGCTTCCTTGGAGTATTTTCCACCTGGATCTCCTATTTTTCCATGGAATTTTGGGCTTTTCCATTGGATAATCCCAGAAAGTCACATCCTGATTAATAAAACATCTTAAAAATATGCTCAGGTGGATTCTGTGGAGAAATTCCCTCCTCAGTCTCATTTTTATTGTTTAATTTTTTTAATTTTCCCTTTTTTAAACGTATTAATTCAGAGTCAGGAAAACAGTGGATTTTACTCCTGGAAAATTGGGAATTTTTGGATGTTCAGGCAGTTTTTTTTCCCAGATATTCCCACTTTTTATCCCGTTAAATTTATGAATCACAGCAAAAAGGTGATTTTATTTCTCTTACTAATTGATCCCTGATGGAATCCCCATGGACTGGAGGGAAGGAGAGACTTTGGCTTTTTTCCTGGAAAAAGGGGACGATTAGCAAAGAATCTTCCTAGAATTCCTTCTGAATGCCCTGGAGGAGGCTGAGGTGGGGTTTTCCAAGGAAATTGCAGCAGGGCAGGAATTCCAGTGGGAATTTTGGGAAAGCCAGGATGAGTTTGGAGTCCAGTTGGAACTTCCTGGGATGGGAATTTGGTGTTCCCGGGAAAGGTTTAATCCAGAAAAGTTGGATTGATGGCTGCATTCCGTTGATTCTTCCAAGTCTTTCCCAAGGATTCTCTGATTCTGGGTTGGAATTCCAGCTGGATGAGCTGGTGTGAAAGGGGCGGCAATGGAGCGTATTCCCAAGGATCCTGGCTTTCCTCAGGAATCCTGGATTCCTCGGATCCACCTGGGCACTATTGATGGGAACAGGAGTTCTTGGCTAGGGGGAATTGCCATAAACTGGAGCTTGGAGAAATCCCAGAAAATTCCTGGGAAGCCCTGGCAGCCATGGGGCTGCTTCCATCCGTAGAGGTGCTATTGGAATTCTGCTCCTGATCCCACTATCCCTGTTAATCCCATCCAATCCCTTCCCTGCCTGTGCTGTGGGATTCTCCAGGCTGGGTGATTCCTGGGATTTCCATGGAATTGGGCTGCTGGATTTCCCAGGAATTGGATCGTGTTCCATGGCTCTTTTCCAGCACTGTCTTTTCCTGCCCCAAGATTTTTGGGATTCTCTTCCTGGTCCATTCCCAGCCAGGAGATGCTCATGGATAACTGGGTGGAAATCAATTTATCCCATCTCAGATATTCCCAGTGGGAATTTGGTATTCCCAGGAAAGGTTTAATCTGGAGAAGTGGTGGGATTCCATGGCTTAGTGGCGTTTTCCAAGGATTCTCTGATTCCAGGTTGGAATTCCCATTGGGATGAGCTGGCGCAAAAGGAGCATTCCCAAGGATGCTGACTTTCCTCAGGGATCAGTTTATCCCATCTGGGATATTCCCAAAAAAGCCCTGGAGGGCTGTTATCCATATCCCAAATCCCATGGGGTTTGGGGAGGGAATTCCATCCACTGTTTATCCCGGGGCAGGAAAAGGGTGGAAAACCTTGGGAATTCTCCCTTCCCTGTGGGACGGGATCCTGCTCCAGGTCAGCTCCTCCTTGCTGAGCAGCAGCAGCAGCTGAGGATCCCCCTGGGATGGGAATCCCATGGAATGGGAATCCCCAGTGGCCACGGGCCATGGCACCTGCTGCCCTCCCTGCCCTGGGCAGAATTCCAAGGGCTCTGGAAAACCTGGAAGAGCTCCGGCGCGGTGGCCAAGCGGACACGGAGCAGCTGCTGGGGGATATTCCGTGGAATCCTTCCCTGTTTCCCACCGGGAACGGGACCGCTCCGAGCTGCCGTGGGGTTGGATCATGGAGAGCTTGGAATTGCAGCTGGAATCTAGTTAATTAATTATTTTAATTGGGTTCTTGAGCTTGGGTGTTTTGGAATGATCTTGGAGCAGGGATTGGCTCACTGGAGCCTTCGGAGCAGCTCCGGTAATCCCGGGATTGAGTAGGAAGCTCATCCAAGGTTTTGTTGGTCTGGTTGCATTCCAGGTGGGATTGGAATGGGAAATCTAGAGAATTTCTCGCCTCTGGTTGGAATTTTGTGGGAGACAAATCCTTGGAAAAGTTCCCTGTTATAGATGTAGGAAGTGATGGCCTCTCCCAAGGCTTCTTGTCCTTGAAATTCCGAGATTTTATGGAGAGGGAATGTGCCATGGAACGCAGAGACGTCTGTGGAATGTTGGGAAAAATCCCACAAATCCATTTCTTCCTCCTTTCCTTGGGGAATCCTCCTGGATTTCCTTGGGGATTCTTAGGGGATGGAGCCATCCTGGAATTTTGTTTGGAACGCTGTTGTTTCCAGGGATTCAGGGGGTTAACGCCGACACGATGTTGCTCTTGGGAAGGGTTGGGAATGTGCTCTGCTCTTCCCAAACTGTCTCTGAACTCATCCAAGCTTTCCCAGCATGGTCTCTTGGATTCTCTATGGATTTGTTGGATTTGTGCCTTTGCCCAGTGCCGGAAACAGGGGAAGAGGGAATGTGGCATTTGTGCACCAAACTTCCTGAAAAGCAGGGAGGAAACAGCCTTCTGTAAAAAATACCTTGGAGAGGTGGGAATGGGATGGTCTTTAATGTCACTTCCACCCCAGAACATTCCAAGATTCTGAAAAAATACAAATTAAAAGGGGGGAATAAAAAGGCTGTTGGGTCATCGACCTTCCTGCTGAGGGATTTTCCTTTGTATCCAAGACTATTTCCAGCTCTTCCTTAAATCTCCGCTCTACATCTGAGGGAATTGCTGTCTAATTCCCTGGTTTTCTGTGCAATTCCCTGGTTCCCATGCTGAGGGAGGGGTGGATATCCCACCTCCTGGATCCTGGAGCTGTTTGTCCCTCAGTGTGAGCTCCGGCCTCATTCCCTTCCCTCCATTCCTGCTCCCCTCAGCTCCCAAAATTCCTGTGAGGAATTCTCAAATTCCTGTGAGGAATTCCCAAATTCCTCTGAGGCAAAACCCATCTGGGGCTTCTTGGTGAGGATCCCAAACCCTCCTGGCTCCGTCTCCGGGGGTGCTGGGATGAGATAACGGAGCAGGAACACAGATAAGGAGGATTCGCCTCCATTGCAATTTTCCCGCCTTTTTTTTTTTTGGCGGGAACTTTGGGTGTGTGGGGAGAACATGAGGGGAAAAAACTGTTTATCCCAAATGGATCTTCTGGAGAATCCTGACAATGAAACACCATTGAGGGATGAAATCCATGAATTTTCCACCCAAATTTCAACCCAATGAGTAATTTGGGAACTTATTTTGAGAATTTTGAGGGCTTTTTCCCTCACATGAGGGAAGAAAGGTCATTTATCGCCAAACGAATCCTCTGGAGAATCCTGATAATTAAGCACCATTGAGGGAAAAGATCAACTTATTTTCCTTATTTTGGGGGGTTTTCTATCTAAATTTCATCCTAATAAGTGGTTTGAGAGTTTGTTTTGGGATTGTTTTTACCCTCAGTGTGTGGGATCAGGAGCGCTACCTCGATCTTGGCTTTCTTCTCAACACAACCCCAAGCTCCTGCATTTTTCTGCTGAAAAATCTCCTGATTCTTCCCAATTTCCTGGAATTCCTTCTATTTTTCCTTGATTTCTTCCCTTTGCAGGTGAAAGAGCTCGTTCTGGACAACTGCAGGTCGTTCGAAGGGAAAATCGAGGGCCTCACGGATGAGTTCGAGGAGCTGGAATTCCTCAGCACAATCAACGTCGGCTTAACCTCAGTTGCAAACTTACCAAAGTTAAACAAACTCAAGAAGGTAAATCCCACCTCCCCGAGCCAAATCCCTCCTTTTCTCCTTTTCCATGTTTGGAAAAGGGGCTGGAAATGGGATCCGATGGGATTTTTGAGGGTGTTTTTGGGCCTTTGCAGCTCGAGCTGAGCGACAACAGAATCTCAGGAGGCCTGGAAGTGTTGGCAGAGAAGTGTCCGAACCTCACGCACCTAAACCTAAGCGGCAACAAAATTAAAGATCTCGGGACAATAGAACCTCTGGTGAGTCGGGATTGCTCCTGGGAATGGGATTCAGCTTGGAATTCCCTCATGAATCCCGGATTGCTCCAAGCCTGGCCTTGGGCGCTTCCAGGGAATGTCTCTCCTGGAATGTGTGCCAGGGCCTTTCCCCCCTCCCAAAATCCCAGTTATTCCTGCATCCCAAGTCCTGGGGAGCTGGTTTTGCTCCAAGGAATGGGATTCATCCCGTTCCAAACCCTTGGAATTCCCTCATGAATCCCAGGTTGCCTCAGGCCCGGCCTTGGGCGCTTCCAGGGAATGTCACTCCTGGAATGTGTGCCAAGGCCTTTCCCCCCCTCATTCCTTCCCAAAATCCCAGTTATTCCTGCATCCCAAGTCCTGGGGAGTTGGTTTTGCTCCAAGGAATGGGATTCATCCCGTTCCTAACCCTTGGAATTCATTCCTCTATCCCAGGTGTTGCTCCAAGCCCGGCCTTGGGCGCTTCCAGGGAATGTCGCTCCTGGAATGTGTGCCAAGGTCTTTCCCCCCTCATTCTTTCCCATAATCCCAGTTATTCCTGCATCCCGAGTCCTGGGGAATTGGTTTTGCTCCAAGGAATGGGATTCATCCAAACCCTTGGAATTCCCTCATAAATCCCAGGTTGCTCCAAGCCCGGCCTTGGGCGCTTCCAGGGAATGTCACTCCTGGAATGTGTGCCAGATCCTCCCCCGCGTTTCCTTCCCAAAATCAGCGAATCCCGGGATCCAGGCCGCATCCCCAGCCCCTGTTCCCGGTGAGCCGCTGCTTCCCTCTAGTGGCTCCCCCGTTCCCGGCGGGAGCCGCCGCAGCTTCCCAGGATTCCGCAGGCTCTGCATCCATCTCCAGGCACTACAATTCCCATGGAAATCCTTCCAGGAGCAGCTCCTTCCTGCAGCTCCTTTCCTGCGCCACAGGGAAAAGGCAGAGCTGCTAAACTCATGGAGAAACCTGGAAGTGCTCCCAGCTCTCCCAGTTTTCCCATTCCAGGCCTTTTTCCCAAGTGCTTTCCGCATAAAGGGAAAGGAGATATTCCTTAGAGGTGGTATTTCTGATCCATGGATAAGCCTTGATACAAACACTCAATTCCTTTGGATTTTATTTTTAGGATTTCCAAGTTCTGTGAGCAGCGCTGACTTCCCAAAAAAGAATTGCACAAAACCCCCAGGAATTAAATTCCTGTTCCATTTCCATGTGGTTTTTTTTTCATTTTCCATAGTCTAAGGAAAAATAATTGCTTTTTTCAAACCTCTCTTATCAAAGTTCTTGTGTCCGAGTGCTGCATTCCTGCTTCCATCTGCAAGAATTCATTTGGGATAATTCCCTGGACCTCAGCTATTCCTGGATCTGGCTCCTTTGGGATAATTCCCTGCATTCAGTTATTCCTTTGGATTTGGGAGCTGCAGGACTCCAGGGAGAGCCTTTCCCATCCCAAATCCCAAATGAAATTGGGATTTTCCAAGTGGTTTTTCCTGGATTAGGGGCGGAAATTCCAGAGGGAGCTGACTGGGAAAGGGGAGAGGAGTTGGTTTATTCCAAGGTCAGGCAATTTGGGAATTTGGGGTATTTTTTTATAAAGATCCCTTTTTTTTTTCCACGCCTGCCATCTCCAGGGAGCCCAAAACACCCTTGGGAATCCCTTGAGCACATTCCCCGCGGCATCCTTGCTTTTGGAGGGAATTCCCACACCAGCAAACCTCCCAAATCGCTTTGTTTTCCCAGAAAAAGTTGGAAAACCTGAAGAGCTTAGACCTGTTCAACTGTGAGGTGACCAACTTGAACGACTACAGAGAAAACGTGTTCAAGCTGCTGCCGCAGCTGACGTACCTGGACGGCTACGACCAGGACGACAAGGAGGCGCCGGACTCCGACGCCGAGGGATACGTGGAGGGGCTGGACGACGAGGAGGAGGATGAGGATGGTACGGGAACGGGAACCGGCACCGGGA